GGTAGAGAGCCGCACTTAAAAGGTGTGCTATAAGAAAACATGATGGGCTCTGATGTTTTCATCCATTTTCTGGCTCCCTGAAGAAAACCACTCTCGCAGACCCAGGTGATATTGACGTTTGTGCTCGACATTTCTCCTATCACTGGCAGAGATGAAAGCGTAAAAGGCCGCTGGGATGCATTTATGAAATCCCACAGATGTCTGGAGTGCTAGGGTGAAAGGCCAGGGGAAGATATTCAGGTTTTGGGGAAATTAAACTGTGCTCTACAGGCAATGTAATCTGCGGGCCGATCCAACACGTTCTACCCACACCAGAAGATAGTAGCTTGGCTGGTGTCAGGTGAGGATGTCATTCAGCTTTTTCAAATGCTGCATCTTAAATAAAGTGTGATCATTACACATCCAAATGGATTTAAACATATGCTAAAGATGAATGGAAGGAAGCGGACACCCTTTCCAGTTTCCACAAACAAATAAAGCCAGACTAAGCAAGTAGGGGAGGGTGTTATTTACTATGAAAACATCCGATCATAACCCCAAGCCCGGCAACTACACAAGACTGAAACCATTCATGTTTTTTAATTGATTAAATGATAAACACATAAACCTTTCTAGAATCTAAAATGTTATTTTTTAAACTTTGGTTTTTGTACGGATAAAACAAACAAGTTAAGGTGCGTGCATTTGAAAGCTAAGATAAAGTTTAGCCATACAAAATGATTGCTGGTGTTCACAAACAGATATGAGAGTGGTATCAATCAATCACACAAACTAACTCTTGGCAAAAAAGCTTATAAGCATATCTTCTGAACCCTTAAACTATTACTTAAGGCCAAAAGGTTCAAGCAGCTGTTTCTACCAGAAACAGAAGTCAAAAATAACTTTTAACTATATTATTCTATATTATGGCCTAACTTTCCACCTGATTTCACTAAACTCTGTTAAATCTTCGAGGTGATGCCAATAGAGTGGTGCAGGGATGACGTATTTACCCGGAAATTAACTGCGCATGGGTTCCCTCGACAAAAAAGCAATGGGATTTCTCCATAGGATTTTGGAAAATAGCTCGAAATAACGTGGAAAGCGAACCTGTTAGATAAATGCACGTTTTGTTCAGTCGGATAATCTCCACATGTCTACCCTACTTTTATAATTTTCTAATCATAAATCTAATCGCCAGAAGCTAAATGCTAACGTTATGCTATAAACGAACTACAGCAGGGTCGCTGCTTCAACGTCACGCCAACTTAAGATCCATATTCAAAACTACAGATTCTAAATTGTTCAAGTTGAAGCGTTTGTTTTAACAGTTTGCAGGAGGCAGGTACTTGCTTTCAAGCGGAACAGGGCAAACAAACTTAGTGGGAGTGTTTACGTGTTCGGCGTAATGACGTAAAACGGCCTCTACAACTTCTGTAGTCCTATTCAGCCACTTGTTAACAACCATCGTTTTTCAGACACGTAAACTCTTCAGAAATCACGAGTGGGGTCACTGCTGATTTAAATTTGTGTCAACCACAGACCTTATTTTGAGCTATTCTCCAAAATCCTATGGAGAAATCCCATTGACTCTGAGACGAGGGAACCGGTAGTGGTAAAATGCTAACTCACTTCCGGGTTTTAGGACTCGTCACTGCACCACTCTATTGTTTTCAACCTCCAGCCTACTCTCTTAAAAAGCCGAGCCAGGTCTTGTAATAAATAAGGTGTGTGGAAAGGATTAAGCAGCATAAGCACAGAGGAAATCTGTCCATCCAGATGCCCCTGTTGGCTCACAACAACTGTCTTGGCATCTGATCCAAAACGGTATAGATAGATATGCATGCTGGCTCTTATCGGATCCCTGCATTGAAAAGACCCCGAGCCATAAAAGGAGCCGAAGTTAGATTGGAAGAGGATGTTTCCCCAGGTGCTAAGACAGGTACTGATGATGGCGGACTGCACTTCATAATGATGCCGCAGCCCGTCAGCTCTGCACTACTGCTTTTGTTTACACACTTCCGAGTGGAGACCATTACCACTTTAGCGTGTCCTTGAGAGAAGTTAGGTTAGTGCTGAGTAGAGCGATGAGCTGGGAGATGAGGCCTTTAATTAGCTCCAAGGCGGGATGATAATTGATCATCTCCTTCAACTCGTTCTACCATGAAGGGCTTAACACCATTAAAAACAAAACACATCACAATACCTTGAAAACTCAAAACCACAAGTTGGATCAAAGACAGCTCCGCACAAAGAGTGCAACTTCAAACCAACACTGAAATCCGGATGGACACTTCTTAGATAATGATTTGCACTAAAAAACAACACAGAATAGGAAAACTGGGCGATGAAATGTCTGTGAAAATATAGCCTATATATTATTTATTTTGCAGTATATCATTGCATGTTTCTCATCTTGCTTTTTCCCCTACATAGAAGCCTGGTTAATAGAAATAGACTGAGGAAAATGCACTTGATGCCACTATTGGCATTTCAGGCATTAGGTAAGCAGTGATATAATTAGCATTCATGAGTCAAGTAATTAAAACATCAATGTAACCAAGCAGTGCTGTTAAGACACTTATTTGCTCAGCCTCCAACAGTCAGTGCAGTTAAAAAGACAGTTTCTCTAATGCAACTGACTCCATTCACTATCCACTGATGGTGCGAGGTAGGGCTGCTCGATTATGGCAAAAATCATAATCTCGATTATTTGGGTCAATAATTGATATCACGATTATTAAAAACGATTATCCATTTACTTTGAAAACATCCATTTATTGAAAAATACATTTGAACAGTATGTTTTTAACAGTTGATTACCCTGAACTTTAAGTATAATTCAACTGAAAAACCAATAAATAAATACTTTTTTTTTTAAATGTGTATGTATAAATCAGTAATCCACTCTTTAATGTGTGTATCATTGTCCAGACGTCAGAACACATTGTCTGTTCAATACTCTTTAAAATATAGCCTGAAGGGAGAGTGTGTGAAAACCAACTGCAAACAGCGCTTCCTACCATTGAAACAAGTGTCTTTACAATAGGACTTTGTCAACTCGAGGAGAGTCTCTCAAAAAAAGCATTTACAAACAATTATCATGCCTTCAGGACAAACTGTAATCCTCAAAAAAGTGTAAACACAGAGCCTCACACAACTCTTTAAAGCAACTACTAGCTTAGTGACCAGGCTTTTTCTGCAAACATATTCATTAATTATGAAGCTTTTTGTATTCCTCAGATATAGATGTAAACACACTCTAAGGTGGTAAAACACTTCCAGATATGCCCAGTTACATTGTTTCCACCACCGTGGAAGAGGAGGTACACCATGTACTACAGATGCAAAAAAAAACTGCCAATATTTAATATGTTCACTTCAACCCTTCAGCATCTTAGCAAGAAAACCCTTAACCCCCTCTCTCGACATATTGCTTAAGCCCAGCAGCTGTCAGTAATGATTGAGATCGTCCATAACATCATTTATACTGGTAGGTGTGAGGTATAACCATACTGAACAATCATCTGCCTGTCTGTTTAAGCCATATGTGCACACGGAGAGGAAAATAAGATGGGCATTGGCAACTGTATTCCTGACAGGGGAAAAGCAAATAAGCTTCAATTAACATGAGACAACTATAATCTGTTTAATCAGCTTGAACAGCTGCAGTGGCTGGGTGAAAATTCTGCTTTTCTGCTTGTTTTACTGATAACACATAGCCGTATGAGTATTAAACCTACATACTAAGTGCATGAGGGCTGCTGAAAACATGGTTTTGGAAAATAAACATTGGAATAGAAGATGGTTTCCGAGCCTCTATGTTCCCAGTGTCTGTGTTGAGGGCGTGTGGGAAATAAAAGGTGTTAGTAAGAGTTTCGCTTGTTGTGTCTTCCTGTTCTTGTGACAGGTTGAAGACACTGTGCAATATAAATAAAAGTGCCAAACCAAAACCAACTGTGAACTCGCCACACGTCCAAAGACAGGTGCGAAAGCAAACACAAGAGTAGGAGGAAGTAATGTGAAGGTGCAATCAAGATGACCGCAAAAATGTCAGGTATTGAGATGTGATCTGAGGAGGAAACAGTGGTGTGTACAGTGTGTATTTTCACAGAGCCATGCTTCCTCCTCTGTACAGAACTACGCAGACACTGAAACATTCATCCGTGGGATCACACTCGTCATAAGGTATGTCCTCACCGACAAATCTCAGGTTTCTCCAAATGAACCCAGTGTGTGTGAATTCCTGAGAGGCCTGACATGACAGTGTTCTCCACATTCATGTTGTGCTGATGAGTGCAAACAGCTCCTTGCGATAGCCTCAACTTCAAGGTAAAAAAAATAGTGTAAGGCTTGTGCTGTACATGCAGATAAATGTGTCAAGAGAGTTTCAAATCAGAGCCATCTATCTACTAATCATTTCCATGCATGGCAATGGGCATCAGTGCAAAAATAACATTAACAAAATTCATCTCTCTAGTTCAATAACATTGAATATATATATATTCAAGTTGAATAAGCAGATTACATTGTAGCATGAGAATAAGCTGCTCACCCAGCAGAGCAGAGTTTGCATGCACTTTACAGCAAGTTGACTTTCACAGAGTAACAAAAGATCATAATTGTCAGTATTAATGCAAGCCTGCTCTGATACATTGAGCTGTGTGTCAACACATGACAGACTGCTCCCTCCACAGCACTCCCTGTAGTGCAGGTTAGTTATTAGACAAGAGGTGGATGTCGCAACTCGTGTGGACAGCCGTTGTGATAACAAGTTCTGCCGGTTGTAACGATGCATTTCTTACAGGAGTAGGTCAATTTCTCCATAAACAGGCCATGTTTCAAACATTTTGTAGGGGGAAAAAAATGTTGTGATTTCAGAGAGAAAGCTATACTTAAATATGGGAGTTTACTAAGAATTGTTAATTTGGGGTTGTAATTGAAAGATTACAAAATGTTTAAAAGTTTAGTTGTAGCTCCAAACTTGTCCACAGACTAATGTTTGGACTTATTTCACCCACCTTCTCCTTGTTGTCGTGGTCCGAGGGAGGTGAAGTGGGAGATTTAACACTCCCCAGAGCAACAGCTTGGGTGACTGTGACACCTCCGCCTGGAGCTGGGCTGGGCTTTTCGATAGTTTCCACCTTGATAAGTCGGTGTTTTGGTGACACATACTTGATATCCGGCGACCCCACGCTGTTCAAGCTCGAGCCGAATGAAATATTTCCACCTGGAGTGTACGGGTCCTCGAAGTCCAGCTCCTTTTGTAGTTTGTACGCAGCGAGGATGTCCGGTTGAGCGGGGCTCGGGAAGGTGACCCCGCAGATTGTTTGTTGGTAGCCAGGCGCACTGGGCACACCGGTGTGACAGTGTCTGTAGTCCGGTTTCGGAGGCGCCGGAGGGGGTGATTTGGTAGTTTTGAATCCTAGGTGCTCCTTGAACCACTTGGCCATGCTGCCAGTGCATCGCTCTCAAGTCAATGAATGTAGTTTAGTTCCAGCTTTCCTGCCAGCGGAGCCCGAGTGTGTTCGTCAAAAGTGGGCTCCTCGGGTCACGCGCGGCCAGCACACCGGTGTCTGAGCGTGTTGCCAGTCTCGTGCGACTCTAGGTCTGGAGAGGAGTGCGCGAGGAAATGTGAGCGCGGCCACAGGCACTTTCTGATCTGCCTTGCTGCAACTCAGTCCGCTCCGCTCGGCTGCTCTCCACGTCAGGTTTCCAGACTACGCAACATGGGAGCGCTTGTGCAAGAGGAACACACGCCCCCCCACAACCTGCCCTCCCTACCTGAGAACATTCACTGCCACCTACCGGACTTGTGAAGCCCCGCTGACTGTTGACTACTGAGAATACCAGTCACCGCTGCATGAAAGTTTGGAGAGTTTTACAAAACCCACAGCTCCGAGCACCCTCTGAGAAGAGTCTTCAGGAATCCCCGGATGTGGACTTGATGTATCTGGGCCGATATAGAAAAATAAAAAATCGATTAGCCTATACATGACATGGTGTTTTGCCTGAACACCATGTCATTGTCCAAGTGTATTGGAACCATTTTGGCCCCTTACTTAAATGTGGGGGAGTAATTTCAGGTATAGATCCAGTGGCGGTTCTAGAACATTTTACATGGGGGGGCAAAGGGGGGGGCAAGAGGTCATGCCAGGGTGGCATAGGAAGGCGGACAGTACGTGGTATTTTATACTGTATAACCTATTTATTGTTAATTCATGCCCTAACACAAGTGTTCTTAATGCACAAGAGAAACAAGGTGTTCAGACAAACAATCGGGTGCCCTTTGAGTCCCCCAAGCTTACCTCAACCATTTTAAATGAAAGGAAACTACAAAATGTATTTTAAAGCAATGAATTAATGGAACAGGTTGTTTTGCATTACAATGTAAAATTAAATATATATTTTGTTTTAAAAAAAATTGGTTGTCTTAGACAGGCATATTTGCATGTCCTCACTAAGCATTATTACATATTAATTTAATATTAAACAAATCAAAATGGCCAATTATCCCAACATGTTGCTGCTAATATAATCATATGCTTGTCAACTTTAACTGATCACAAATCAATTCTGAAAAAATACTTGAATTATCTATGAAATTGCAATATTATCCCTCAGTTTGTTTCAACCCTGTCACGCCATACCATTTACCCTCCTATTAAAATAATGGATCAGTCCATGTGTGATCTGCATTGAGGGAATTACATCACAAAAGTGTCAGTTTATTTTCTTACCTATATTTCAGTTTTTGTATTTTCAGATTAAGATTGACAAGCTCAACATTTCAACTAAGTTGTATGAATTAATAATAGTAAATAATTGTTTATTACAAAAATAAACAATAGTTTTGCAAAATATTATAATGTTTTAATGTCCTTGACTTCCATGTGGTGCCATATCTTAGCTAAACAAGGTCTCATGCCTACTTTTTGTCAAAAACTTCAACCCTGTTACATTTTTTCTAGTAAATTCCTAGTAATTATTTATATTTTGAGCCTGAGGTGGGAAAATGTAAGTAGTCCACTACCAGATGTTATGACCAAACATTTTGGTTTCATTTTTCAAAGATATAAAGACCCAAAAGGCACCCGATTCAGAGAATACTCAGAATTCTGCATACTGTAAGTACTTAATTATAATTAAGGCGAGACACCCCAGGTGAATAGGGTAATTTTTTTAACTTAAAGGTATCAGCTAGAAATTTCTCCAGTTAATTACTTACAATAAGGCAATTGTCTTTTGTATTACAAGTTTTCTGAAATAGCATGTTTAAATATGCAAATTTCCATTATCTCACTAAATATGCACATATTTTAACACATTTCAGGAATCGAAATCTGAACTTTGGATATAGCCAGATTCAAAATTATTGTTTCATTTTGTAGTCATATTAGTATCTAAGGCTTTTACAGAAGGGATATTGGATATCTCTTTTTATCATTCCATAAATCAGAAAATACTGTCAACAGCCCTAAAATATCCATTTTCGCCATGTTTTTAGGTATACAATGTTGTATAATTCAGGCTATGAATTATATATGAACAAACCCTTCTGTAAAAGCCTTCATAATATTGATAGGAATATAACTGGAAGGTTTGGTGTATCTACGTGCTACTGAAGTTGAAATTTCGAACTCAGAGTAGGAGAAAAAACTCATTTTGAGAAAACGACCTTTAAAGATTGCAGTGAGGCGCTAGCTAAACCCTCCTGTTCTCTGGATGACAGCTTGCGCATCGACGCACTCCGTGAAGGTATTTCATGTTCAGGGTAATTTTTTTTTTATAACCTTGCTTCGTGCAAGTGACAATTGTTGTCGTCTTCTCTGTGAACGTTTTTTTCGCCGTTCTTTTGGCATTTTGAGATTTCAATTTCTAGCTGAAAGCTAACCAGGAAGTGTTTTAGCACACCACGTGACGCATCTGAACGAATCACGTTGTCAGAAATTGACACCAGCCAATGAGATTTCGTGTCTTGGTTTAAGACCCCTTTGTGCTTTCACGATTGGTTGCTGATACAAAGGAAATGACCATATTTGGATCCGATGAGATTGTGCAGGAGAGACGGAGCTTTCCAGCGATACCTCTGTTGACATGGTGCACACAGCGGTCGCGGTACTTTATGTTACGTTAGAATGCTAACTTTTGGTGAATTTAGGAGAAATCTACAGACGCAAATAGACAAACTATAGTAAAATAAACACTTAAATGTGTATTTTGTACGTTTTCCTTCCAAAAGCCTGAAAGAAAACATGTTATGGAATCAAAATAGCACAAATTCTCAAAATTGACCAGTACTTGAAAAACGATGTTTTTGCCTGCCGTGTCTCGCCTTAAGTACACAAATGACATCACCCATCTCTTCAGAGAGCTACAGGTGACCTGTGCAGCAACACATTTCAATCAATATTTGTCAATACTAAGAGCTGCTAGATTGTGCTGCTGTAATGGAATATGTAAGGAGAATAAGAACATACCATGTGGTCCAGCTGGAGTTTCATCTGCCTCCTGATCCCTGCCTCTGTCCCTCTTTCTGATACTTCATCTTTATTCCTCACATATATTTCTTCTTCTTCACTAATGTCTTCATCTCCTCCTCTTCCTCCTGCTCTGACCCTCCTGGTCTCTTCATCTCTTTTTTCCTTTTCCTCTTTCTGTTCGTCCTGATCACTTCTCATATGTATTTTTGCTGTTGTTGAATCACTCCTATACTCTGGCCTGCAAGAGTCTACTTGTGAAAAGTACTGGTACAAATGCTTGTACAACTTTACACGTTAGGGCCATGTAGCCTAGCTAATATGTAGCATATCATAAATATAACATCAGAAAGTATTGATCAAGCGCACACAGGCAGCTGTGTTTGGATCCAGTTTTTACGGCAAATGATGTATCCTGGTTTCATTGATCTGGCCTCATGGCTGTGATGTGTAGTTTACGTGGATTTAATAGGAGGCTACCGCGTAGTTTAACAAAGTGATCGATCTCCCAGCTAACGCTGTCTGCGTAGTATTTTGTAACGTAACGCCCCAAACAGCGCCCGTCTGTTAAACGCTATCGATTCAAACGGCAGCGTTTTATTAATATTTAGTTTCAAGAACTCGTCCTTAGTAAAAACAAAACTAGTGGAAATGGAAATGCTCCCAGGGGAAGCTGATCCATAGGTGCTGGGACAGCTCGCTCCCTCTCTGCAGCGGTGTGAGCCGCGGTCTGTGTGAACGCCGCTCCGCAGTTTAATGCAGGGCCGTAGCTGCGTTTTTAACGGGCCTAAAATGATATTTAAAATGATTCACTTTTAACTAATGTAATGCTTGTTTTGTTGCTTGAGAAGCTTGTGGAAATAGTGTAGGTTTCTTTTAGTACAGTTTTAGGGAAACAAAAATTAGGGGGGCAGCTGGGGGGGCAGCTGCCCCCCCTTGCCCCCCCGTAGATCCGCCCCTGTATATATCACTTTGGGATTTCAGGAAAATGTGTTTTAAATATACTCCCACTTTCTCTCCAGAGTTAACTTAACTCTACAATATTATTGTTTTACAGAAATACAACTGTAATACAACTGTTTACCTCAAAGACTGCAGGTCTACATGTTGTGTTTCACCTCAAGGGTAAAGTCCTATATCATTATCAGTGTGCTCATGTCCAGATGGCCACTGCAGACTGTTTTAATTGCAAATTGCATTGCAAATGAACAGTAGAGAGGCATGCTGGCACCTATTTTAACTCCGGGAACTGTTCTTGCTAAGTTCATTACACCATCTATGAGTAGCTGAGGTGAATTGTTCAAAGCAACAATTCAAGTGAACAGTTCTCTCCAATGTGTCTTTCAATCTCTCTGACGCAGAGCATAGGTTCACCTGCTAAACACTAACTGCCTTTGCAATCAAAGGACAGATGAAAAATAATCAAATTTTTCCCCTGCAGAGACATACTCCAGCAACAGTCTGCATTAACACGAGTCATGGCTGCAGTGCGGTGGGTTTTTATGAAGCAATATTTCTTTTTAATAACACCACACACACACACACTCAGCCTTGAGCAAGTCACAGTGTACAGATCACAGTTTAACCCTGGCAGGCTCCGGGGAGACACAACTCCATGCTCCAGAGATAAAAACAAAATCTATTATTTCTGTCCTGAAATCCTGCCATCGCTGCACTTTGGGCACACAGAGAAATTTGACCCGTGCAATTTCCATGCACTTTATAGGAATAATTTCACCCAAAAGCCAGCGGGGACATTAATCTGTTTAACAAATGCATTACACCTAAAAGCTTTAAAAGAAAAAAAACAAGCACAATGGGTTCAGATGGTCCGTTGTTTACTGCAACACTTTGTTTTTGTTGCCAGCTCTGGAAACAACTATTTAATAGAAGAAAAAAGAGAAAAGCTTGTTGCAGCTCACATTTGTAGGGCTGTAATCTTTACATACTGTAACATCAGTGCTGCATGTACCCCAGTATGTGATATATTGCCAGTTACACAATTTATAGCCTGACTCATGCTATGGGTATTGGAGGATCTGGTGGGCAGGAGCAGGTGTGTCATTTAGGTTGCCTCACATCACAGATCCTTTATTGCATTGCTTACAATTACATTCACCCATTTCTTCCAGCTGCCACCCTTTAAAATGCAAATCCTGTAATCCAACACCTCAAAGAATACAAATAGTCTCCTAAGTAGCCCACGCAGGCAGATCGCTTGCCGTGAGAACTGTACTGTATATAATGTATCATGGGCTTCACTTTGTTAGAAAAAGTGGTGGGGACAATTTCTCCAGATTTCA